AATATTTCAGGAGAGTACAGGTGCTACTCGGTGTGGTCAAGGAGAGAAACTTAAGTTTGTTTTAACTGTTTGTGTGCAAGAAAATGTATAGGAAATGAATCAAAATCTTTGCTTTTCATGATTATAATTTTTGTAATATTTGCATAACTTTACCTTTTGCTATTGTAAATATCAAACTGTTACGATGTCTGTGCTTCTCTTTTAATTTAAAAATCCTGCTTTGACACATTTATAAAGCCTTCCTTCATGTATATGATTTTAAAGGAACGACATCTCCTGCACATTACGCAAAAAACTGCAACTGTTTTACGTCAGCAAAAATGCGGTTTTGGAGGAAACTTAATACCAGCTTTGTTACATTTTTCTTTGACATATCAGAATACTCTTCAAACTTCATGATATTTACTGTCAGTGTTTTTCATTTGGTTTGTCAACTGTAACCACTTGGTTATGTGGGACTTTGGACTGTGATTCAAGTCTGGGGAGGGATTTTGTGTTTATTATCATATGGAATATTATTTACTTAAATATTAATGGTGGTTTGGTTAATGCTTCATGGTGTAAGTCTTCCTCTATGCATCATTGTTTTTGTTGTAAGTAAAAGTAGACACACTGTGCACATGTAAGAAAAATATATTAGTCAAGATCCACTTACGAGCATTCAGAGCTTTGCAAATGTGGACAAAAGGGGCTAGTAAGTGGACCTTTGAGGTCACAAGTTAATTTTTATGTTTAGATTTTCTCCCATTTTTCAGTTGATAAGAACAGAGATAGAGACATTTTAAAGTAGCTCCTTTGAGTCAGTACTCATTTCAACTTTAACTTTGTTGTTGTGTTACATACCACTCCACTGTCACTCCTTTTTTCACTCCTTTCCCTTACCTCAACCTGGTATCATTGTTGTATGTTTTCATTATAGTTAACAAATCCCATGAAAAGACCAAAACTAACAATGTATTGGTTCCTGTCTCAGTACTTTCTGACTTCCCTACACTGTCTGTGGCTCTCAGCTCCAGGACAACAGGCTCTTACTGAAGCAAAAAATCTTTAAAAATTCCTCACAAATGTATACTCTTTTCTTTTTTTTTTTAAAGGCTCAGCAATTTACGGAAACAGTTGGTCACTGAGGTTTTTAGTAAATGTTGATCAAAAAGGGGGAAATAGTTCATTTCTATGAGAATATTTTCAGCAGCGGATCATGTGTTCATGGTAATGAAGGAACATGTCACCAAGTGCATCAGTGTGTCTCACTGATGTGTATTTAATCATTTTTGGACAACAGTGGAGCTCTATGGCACAGAGAAATAAAATGGATCAGGCTTTGGATACACGGACAATACTTGGTAATACTTTATTTTACAAGTCCCATGTTTTCCAGCCAATTTTATGGAAACTTTTCTCATAACTTCCCCAAAATTAGCTGGTATTTAGATGAGAAATGTTGAGGAAGTTTCCAGGTAATTAGCTGGAAAATAAGGGAGCCATTAAAGAAAGCATTACAGGATCGGTTCATGGCTGGTTGTAGTCTCTTCATGGGATTTTTACTGTCAATAAGAAAAATACAGAATGTGACCAGAGTCATCCTTAAGACTGAACAACCACCTCCTGCCATTACAGTTATTTATGTGAACATCACGCTCCTTCCTGTGTTGTCTGTGGATGATTCTACTTAACTGAACCACTGTTTTTAAAATGTATTCATTATTAACACAAATTAAGTTTCCCCCCCTAAACCACACCTACTGAAGCAGAACAGGTGTATGTGGATTGAATGTGTTGGAGATGAGGTCACATGAAGACATCACAGTTTTTAAGATGGTGACTGATGAGAATCAGATCAAACTTTGTCCCTGACAGTTAATAAAAACCTGTTTATTTGACATGTGGCTGCTGCTCGTTCTGCCTCCACATCTACCACCATCTGATACTGTTGCTGCACCTCACACTGACTGTGTGTGTGTGTGTTGTTTCTGCTTCTGAGGAAAACCTGTAGTGATGTTCTGTATTCATGTGTAGAATCTTAAAAGCAGAGATTAGTTTCCTGCTTTCACATGTTGTACCTGTTCTATTTATATTTCATTGAACAGTTCCATCCACAGATCGAGTATTAAACCTCTATGGGTTGTTTATAATGTTAAAAAAGAATCTATAATATTTACCAATTAATTAATTTATGTACAATATCTTCATAGCAGTCATTGTCTTAACTGGAGGAGTTCAGGTTCAGGGTTATTTGGGTCATAATCTACAGTTTTCGGAAAACTAAAAAAAAAAAAACAGCCGGTTGTTGCTTCATAACAGGCGTTCCACACAGAAGTGTTAAAGGGTCAATTCACTCAAATCACAAAAACATTTGTCCTTAAATGGCTTGAAATGGCTAATTAATAGAATAATAGATTTATAAAAGAAAGATATTTTAAATCATCATATCATATATTATGAGAATTTAGTCTTAATTTTGAGTAAATTTAAATCATAGCAAAAATAAAGTGGTAATTTACCAGAAAAAAGTAACTTATAAGAATCGTAGTTTTACAAGAGAAAAGTTGCATTGTTTTAGAATAATAATTTAATGTATCATAATGGAATATGTTGAGAATAAAGCCAGTTTGGAAAATACATTTAATATTTCAACAATGAAAACAATATTTGGAGGAGAAAGAATTAATAAAAAAAAATAAAATTGTGAGAAAAAGTTATTTTCTAAAAATTAAATAAAAATCAGTCTGGATTTTTCAACAATATTTGGAGTAAATAAGGATATTATTAGAATAAAGCTGTACATTTACAAAAACAAAGTTGCAATATTTCAATAATGCAGTTGTGATAGTAGAAAAAAAGACGTGACATTATGATAGTAAAGTTAGAAAAAATTTTGAATACAAGGGTAAAAAGTGGTAATATTACCATAGGGAATTAAGTTTTAATTAATTAGTTGCATAATTCATAAGTCATGATATAGTGATTAAAAAGGCATTATGTGAATAAAGTTGTAATTTTGAGTTTCATATGAGAATAAAGTGATTTTACAGATTAGTTGCAATATTTCACAAAGTTGTATATATTTATATATATACATAAATATATATGCACATATATATATTTATGTGTATATATGTGTGTGTGTGTGTGTGTGTGTGTATATATATATATATATACACACATATCTATCTGTATATATATATATACACACATACACATATATACACACATATATAAATCATTATGAGAGTACAGTTGTAATTTTACTTCAGTTTGATTTTCCAATGCTTTGAGCACCACAAACTAAATTTTATTCACCTCCATTGTATTTGGACTGAAGGCAGAAAATAAAAACTAAAAAAATTAAATTAAATAAATTAAAATTAAAATTAAAACTATCTGTACGACGGACACTTAAGGGGTTTGGTAGGAAAAATAGTTCTGTTGTCATTTGGGTGGACTGACTCTTGAAACACAGTTCAATGTTGACATAACTAGAAGTCCACACACTCTTGAAGTATCAGTATATGGGTGTAAATGATGCATATATATTAGATAACTGTTTAATACAAACACTAATTTCTCGAATGTCACATTTTATTTATCTTTTATTTCTACAGTGGATGTCTCTGTACAGTCATATCTGTTCACACTGGGTGTTATAGGAGAAAATGGAAAATGAACTAATGCCCTAATCTGCATGTGTACTATACTTTGTTCTATAGCTGGAGAGTCTTTGTATAACCCACAACTGGAAAACTTTTCATAACAACGCCGCGGCTCATGTGCATAGAGTTACTGACGTCAGATCAACTTTCTCATTGTTACTAGTAAAAGTTTGCCTTAAACAAGTTTGTTTTCTATTGTTTCGTACCAAGATGAAGCCTTTCACGATGAGCATGTTGTCACTGTGTGAGTCTCTCAAAGGCTTGTGTTAAAGTTTGTCAGACTGCTAAGCTCAGGTATATCACCAGTGTGCAGAGAAGTGTGTTCTTAGATGACTAAGAAACAAGATCACCTGACAATCTCTCCTTCCCCTGCCAATGCAAATAAATGTCATACTCTCACCTAGAACCAGTTTTCTACTTGTGTTTTACTGGAAATGGGCAAACTGACGGATTAACGTCCACCTCCAGCGTTTTTGTGTCGTCTCTGGGAAACCTCAGATGATGCCACTGAAAACATGACTTTGTACATAGCTCCTCAACTTCCAAAGGATGGTATGTGTTGACTTGTGTGAATTGTGTTTATTTGCTTTGTGGCAGAAAGTTGAGCCCTATTTGGATGGGATTTTCATTACTGTGCTTCTCATTAATTTAACTCATCTTTCTGGGCGGTAATTTTACCTTTCCAAAATTACAAGGATGGACATTTTGCAGCACAAAGCAAAGAGAGAATACCATGGCTTACAGTTGTATGCTAAAGGGCCTAAGAACAGGACCATGTAAGAGCTCATCAAATGGGACGATGTAATGTCAGGTACAGGGACAGTTGTATGAAAGTGTGAGGGCAAATACATATTTTGTTGATTTTTGAAGTGGAAAGAAGTAAATATAACCACTGCAGCCAACTAGAAATGAACTCAACAGGCCTAACTCAGATTGGGCAAGCAGAAATTTTACAAAAAAGTGTTTGCAATCTGTTTGCCACAATTACTGTTCGATTCGACTTGCAAAAATGAGCACTCGCTGCGCTGTTGATAATTTAGTGTAAATTGTTCAACATTGTAGCTGAATGCTTTAGTGTTTATCTGCTATAAAAATGTAAAAGCGACTTCATCTGTGTTCACTCTATATCTTATATGTTTAGATTTTACTTTCTAATTGTGCAAAATTAGTTTGTTGTGACTCACTTAAACACTCGAGCCTTGGGAACTAATACCTACATCTGACCTGCCTCTGACCTGCAGTTCCGACTGCGGCCACAAGTGCACAGAGTGGCGCTGTTCCTACAGGTTCACCTGCGAGACAGAATTCAGGACAGATGGGTATAATTTTTTGTCTTGTCATTGACCGGCGCATGCGCACTTCATCATTGACTAAACTGCAACTTCGCTGTGACAACTTAAACGCTCTAATATTTTTTAATGGAAGTTTGGCACACACGCGCTGTAGTACACCGATGATTCTTTACTTGTAACGGAAGTATAAACACAAAATTTGTGTTTTGAAAGAAGTGATTCGGGTGTTTTTTTTGTTGGCGCAGCAGGATTATGGTCGCTGGAGGACTTCAATAACGTGAGTGTCATTATGTTGAGTTAGAGTGACCGCTTCACCTAACCTTATTTCCTCAGTCTAGCAGCTGTGTCCAACTGACAAAACTTTGAAAAAACTGTTGATTTATAACGTTTGTAGACGACGAAGGTTATCGGACGTAGCTAGCTAACGGTATCAAGCTAGTAACTCATTTTTTAAATAAACTAATTGGTCCGTGTTCGTTAACCATTTAGCTCAATGCTACTGTGTATTTGGTGAATGAATATGTTTGTATGTTCACTGGGGGCCGTTATATGTATGTTTGGTGTATGATATTTTCTTAATTGGTGAAACATGGTATTATACGATATGTGTAGCTTAGTTTTTGCTGGATTTTGGTGTGTGAGAATAACAGCAGAACAGTTTTTTTTTTTTATAAACCTGTCTTGTTTCACTTCCCCAGTGAGAAAACGAGGGGACTTTCCTGAACTGATCTTTAACCCCAACATTTTTATGACTTAAAGTTACACAGTAAATCTCTGATGAAGCTGTGGCTTGGCTTCTTTGGGCTTGTGTGGGATGAATTTTGCTGTCCAGGAAATCACATGATCACATCCCGTATTGGTAAATGTTATTTGACTAATCTGTCCTCCCAAACGTGGTGCTTTGACCGATGTTCCGGGATGTACTGATAATTATGACAGGGTTTATTCCTTAACCTTCATATTTATTTAATGGCAGACATGTAACTAACAATTATTTTCATTATTGACTCATTTAAGATAAGATAAGAATAGATATTCCTTTATTAGTCCCACAGTGGGGAAATTTCCTACGTCACAGCAGCAAAGTGGACAGTACAAAGAAAGAAAAACAGCTTGCCACTTAAAGAGAATAAATAATATAATATAATAAAATAAAATATAATACATTATTGTACATTATTTTCTTGAGGAATCGATTAATCGTTATGTCTTGGTTTTGGGAAATGGTGAAAAACGTCCAAACTGACATTGTCAGATATTTTGTTTTGTCCAAAACCCAAAGAGATTCAGTTTACAGAGATATAAAACAGAGCAAAGGAAGAAATACTCAAATTTAAGAAAAGTGAGAACTTGCCAGTATTTGGTATTTGTGCTAGAAAAGTGACTTAATCAATAATTAAGTTATCAAAGTAGTTGCTGATTAACTTTCTGTCAGTCAGTTTATCAATTTATCAACTAACTAAACTAATCACCTACACATAGAGGAAAAGTTATATTCATTGTTCTGTCAGACACAAGTCTGGATTACCAACTAGCCACTGCAAAGGAACCTCAGACTCCCAGGTTTACTCAATATGATTTGGGTCTGCAGGATAATATTATTACAAATTTGTTATAAAATTTGCACTACTGCGGTAGAATATAAACTATTACAGGTCCTCCATCTTGTAGCCTGGTACTGTAGAGGTAACCTGTGTCAAAATATAGTTTAAGACCTTAACTGTTTTCGTTTATGTTATGGTCTTATGACGGTAACGCACTGTCAAACTGCTGAAACTGGAAATAAACATTAATGTTTGCATCAATATTCAACACTGATAATTCTTTATTTATGTCATGTTCTTGAGATGGCGATGAAACAGCAGTACAGATGTTGGTTGTCACTGTGTACAATACATCAGTGTGTTTCAGTGTCTGTGTAATTGTGTTTGTCACTCTAGGTTTGTTGTGTACAGGAGAAAGTGAACCAACAACACACACACACACACACACACACACACACATGGTGAGGAGACCATGTGGTGGTTCCAACAGGGTCTGTGCTTCCTGCCAGCTGCTCTGGTCATCTGGACAGCGGCGTCTTTCGTCTTCGCTTATATCACAGCGGTGTTGCTGAGACATGTGGATCCTCTGGTGCCGTACATCAGGTCTGAGTCTGGACACACGCACACATCACACACACAAGTCTCCTCTGAGTTCTGAACATTTTTCATGTCTGTTATATTTCAGGGTTTTGAAAAGTCTTAGAATTATTATTGTCATTCTTTCACCTTCCTTGTCAGGAGACATTATACACCTGTTGTGACAGTGTTTATGTGCAGGAGGAGGTTCAGTCAGCACCATCAGACCTGTATCAAACACTGTCTCATAATGAGCAAGTGTTGAATCACTGGTTAATCCAGTCTGCATTTATTTAAGTAATTGTACCTAAGAAATGATTGTTAAATCCTGCTGAGAGGTATTGAAAAAACTGTGATATAATAAATAATTGTTGTGCTCACTGCTTTTCCAACATACTTTCAATATTAGGCGAAACAGGTATTAAATTGCATTCTGTTAGGAGGTGAAATGATTTGTTAAGTGTCTTGATAATAAAAGTAATTGATTCTGTAATTTCTGAAGTGAAAATAATGAAAAAATGTCAAAAATTCTTGTGATTCCAGCCTCTCATATTAGAGGATATGCTGTTTTTCATGTATTATTTTTCATATATCATATATTAGCTAAATATTTTGTGGTTTTTGGAGTTTTGTTCAAACAAAACAAGAGATTTAAAGACGTCATGTTTGGCTCTGTGAAGTCAACAATGAAAATAATTAAGTTGCAGCCCCAATTCTGTGTGGTATCAAGACATCTTAGTAATTCTTTGTGAACCTTACAGAAACCAGTGTAGTCAGTGGTTCCCATCTGTAGTGTGATTTTGGTCTGCACATTAAAATGAGCAAATTTGTATTTTTGAATCAAAAGTTTACAATTAAAGTTACTGAAAACAGAGCTGCTATCAATTTTTAATTAATCAACTTTTTTTGATAACTGCAGATTTACCATCAAATTCATACAACTTTTTGAAACAATGGGTCCATGATTTCAGACAAAAGTGCACAAAAGCAGCTTCTCATTTTTAGGTGTCATTTGAATGTATTCAACCTCTGATGCCAAAATATGGTACAATTTTTTCAGTGCCGAAACCAACATGACACTCTGTCCATAATTTTACATTACAGAAGATAAACATTATTTAATTTCACCAAAATCTTTTTTCCCTGTTCAACTCAATGAGCCAAATTTCTCTTTCCCTTTGTTGTGTGTTGCAGCGACACAGGAACAATGGCACCAGAGAGGTGTGTGTTTGGCATCATGTTGGATGTGTCAGCTTTTTTAGGTAACACACACACACACACACACCCTAAAACCAAGATTTTACAGAATAAAACTATTTAAACAATAAAATATATCATTAAATGAAATGGTGCAGGAAGTACAAAGATCAGCAGATGGAAATGTAATCTGTGTAATTTAGTCGCTTGTTACTAAATTGGTTAAGAAATAATGTTAAAATTTTATCCATTTATCAATATTGATCGATAATTTAATTTTTAAAGCCATGTTTTGATTGACTGCTGTTTGTGTGTGTGGTTGCAGGTATGGCAACGGTGTACGTGCGTTACAAACAGGTGCAGGCTCTGACAGGTGTGGACAATGTCAGACTCCACAGACTCAACAGCTTCGGGCTGCTGCTCGGCGTGATCAGCTCCTTCGGGATGTGCGTGGTCGCCAACTTCCAGGTGAGTGCTGCCGGTCCTGGATCCGTTCATCCTGTACAATGTGTGAACACGTCAGCAGTGAATTTGTGTTTGTGTGTCAGAGCAGAAGACCACACTGTTCTCCATGCACCTGGTGGGGGCGGTACTGACCTTCGGAGTCGGGGCTCTCTACATCCTGGTTCAGACGCTGCTCTCGCTCAACATGCAGCCTCACGTCCACAGCAAGGCCATCTACCTGGTCCGCCTCGGCATCGGAGTCTGGACACTGTGCAGCATCATCAGCAGTATCCTTTAACACAGTCCAGCTGTCATGAAATTAATTTTGTTAATTAACATGAGAGTAAGAGCAGAGTCATAGTGATCATAATTACTGAGGAAAGAGAAGTTTTAATAATTAAAGGAATCGTCACTACATTTCTGTTAATGAATAACAGACAAATTCAGGTGTGTGTTTCCTGATCAATCTCTTAAGAAACCTGATCACTGCTCGACTCTCTCCAGAATCAGAAAACAGGGAGGTGTCAGCTAGAGAACAGATTGCAGGAAGGATGCAGCATAATCATTTCTGCCAGTTTTTTTTTTTATGCAAATGAAAATTGAAAAAAATGTATTAGTTTGATGAAAACATAATGAGAACACAACCTGAACATTAGAGAGAAATGTTGTTGAAGCAAACACGTGATGGATTTTCTGAATCTGAATTTCTCTTGTGTATTGAAACAATTCCTTGCAAGGCTTATCATGTTGTCAGACATGCATCCTGCTTTATTAATGCTGTGGTTTCTCTGAAAATAAGCTGTGATCCTTAACAAGGTCGTCAGTGTTCATATCATCAGTCATCATGTACAGCAGTCTGCCAGGAGTGGACGTAGCTCACAAACTACACTGGATTCCTGGAGAGATGGTCAGTGGTTTGTTTGTGTTTGTGTGTGTGTGTGTGTGCGTGTGTGCGTGTGTGCGTGTGTGTGTGTGTGTGTGTGTGTGCGCGCGCGCATCAGAGCTTTGTTTCAGTAATGATACTAAAATTGGTAAAATGAAGTAATGTGAAACAAGTTCTCAGAAGTTAAACACTGTCTAACCACAACCGGCTTTACAGGAACTTTATCTAAATAAAATCCAGTCCAAAACTGAAAGTTAAGACTTAAATCACAAAATATCTGTTATAAGACAAAAAGATTAGACTCTGAACAAACATTTAATGTCAGCTTTCAGTGCTTGAAGTTTAGTTTTTGATAGTCAGCATTACACATTTCAGTCAGTATCACACAAGTATTGAGGCTGGATACACAGCCCTTTGCAGCATCACTGCAACATTTAGGTTTCTGTTTTTAATTATTTTTCCAGGGTTACACGGCTCACATCATCAGCACCGTGTCTGAATGGTCACTGGCCTTTTCCTTCATCAGCTTCTTCCTCACCTACATCAGAGATTTTCAGGTATTTTGTCTCATCTTTTCACCCACAGCTTCAGCTGAAGGTCTGGTCTATTTTGTTTTGTTTCAAGCCAGATTTACTGTAAATCAAGATCTGGTCCAAGATCTGGACCAAGGTGTTCAACACTGCATAGAAAATGTTCTGAAGTGGCTCCTACAAACAAAAGCTTGTTTAAAGGAAATCTTCACATTTTATTTTTAAGTTTGTCCAGATGTATAAAACTGTGTAGGTTAATGACTTAAAGGAAAAGTTTGACTTATTCTTCTTTGGCTTATTTGGTATCTACAGCCGGACTCCTGTTAACCTGCATTTACCATAAATCTGACTTAAATATGAAGCCACAGCCAGCAGCCAGGTAGCTTAGCTTAATATAAAGACTGGAAACAGGGAAACTGCTAGTCTGGCTCTGTCCAAAAGTTCAAAAATCCACCTACCAGCACAAGATCAGTAATTAAAACATTATATCTTGTTTGTTTAATCCATACAAAAAACTAGCTAAAAGAAACTGGCAGTTCCAGCTCCTCTTAAGAACATACGTTTTCCATTTTCCATGTCTGTTTTTGTAGGGATTAACTAAACAAAGTATGTGTTAAAAGAATTCAAGGTGCTGCAAGGCTAGCTGCTTTTATGCTAAGCTAGGCTACCCACGTCCTGACTCCAGCTTCATATTTAGTGTATGGACACAAGAGTGTTATCGATCTAGAATAATCAAGAATAAGACTGTTACTCTTAAAGTCAGCCTCTTCCTTTAAGCTCTTCTTAAAGATCTGGGCTGACAAACATTTCCTAATTATTTTTTAAATCTTTTTTTTTAATAAAGAAAATTAACTTGCGAGCAGAGGTGGATTTGCAGAGCAGCCACCTGTATGACTGGCCACATGGAGGTGTTGTCGCATCACATCATCTCAAACGTGAGGCCAACGAGTCCTCTCCACTGCTGGCAGGAGGAACGTGACCAGCAGCAGCCGCTTTTACACCAATTTTCACTTTTTCTAAACTTGTTTAAAAGCTTTTTATAGAGAATTTCTAAAAGCTGTGGCAGCTCTTAAAGGGTCAGTTCACCAAAACATATCATCTGTCCTTCCTCTTGTGGTGTCTATCAAGACAGATAGTTGTGGATTTATTTCATATCTGCATCAAAAAAGGAGAAAGTTTTCATAGTGAAATTCCATTCAGATCCTCTGTACTGGGGTGCAGATATCTCCAAACCTGAACATCTAAAACCAAAACTATGTGATTGTGCCACTAGAGGTAAGGGTTTTTATTTCATATTTTATCATTTGGATGAACTAACCATGTAAATCCAAATGTAATGCTTTTGGACTTTTCCCTCCAACTATATCGCTCCTTCTCAGTGACTTGTTCCACAAGCTGCACTTTATATCATTTAATTTTGAAGAGCTTTCACTGCCGTTATAAACACCACCTGCTTTTTGTTCTATCACGTGTCTGTGAAGCCCGCCGAGCTTCATTTGGTGGAAATAAAACAATAACTTTAGAATCATGTTTAAATGTCAGCTAATGCATTGATTAACTCTGAAGGGGAAACACTCAGGAGCGCTGAGTTTAGTCTGTCAAGTTCAGCAGACAAGATGCTTTAATATTTTAACTGTTTCTGACCAGTTATAAGTCTGCTTTTATTCCTTGTTTACGAGGGTGTTTGTAAGACTTACACTTTTTTTTTTTAAGAGTTCCCCATTTTTATTGATGTGGGGGAAGTAGAACTGACGATAAGTGAACAGCTCCCCCTGCTGGAGAATCAGAAGTGAGTTTGTGCTAACCTGAAGTGTCTGCCACCAGAAAAATTATACATTTTTACAGTGTTTTAATCATAATTGATTCATAAATTAAAATTTTAATTTTAATATGGATTTGAAACATACATTTAAATTTTTTATTTTACATTTAATTATTTAATTTACTAATGTATGTGTTTCATCTTTATCTCACCAAGGAATTTGTTTTCTTTCTGTAACATCTTGTAAACAAAGTTTGCATTCATTGCTACATCGTTTACATCTGTGTTTACTAGCTAACAGTCCTTTTCTTCACTGCCTTTGTTGGCAAATTACTGCCACCAACTATCAGGGGAACAGCACTAAACTAGCTACAGGAATTTTATCACATTGCAGCAAAACGAGGACACACTCATAAAAACATCTCTATATGGTCACAAACACCTTTAATTTAAAGCAGCTGTTGAGTTTGAAGAGGTGAGGCAGAAGAGCTCTTCTTGGTCAGATTTCTCTCAACACACAATAGTTGCGTTTTAATCATATCATTCATAAATAGAACTGTCTTTAAATTAAATCTCTCAGCATTTTTAAATTGACAAATCTATTATCAGGAAAACAGTCTTAATTTTTCTGATGGCACACTTCAGACTGTACAGGACCTGCCGTCAATTAACTGAGAACAAACTGTATCTACAAATAAACATTAATTAATCAGATAAAACCTACTTACCCTAAATTGTGTATATTATACTGTTTGCTGCAAATAAAAATGTATTTCTTGTTTGTGGTTACTGGTCATATTTTGTCTGCATGTCTTCGTCTTCATGTAGGGAGGATTATTTGCAGGAGTGTTGTATTAGATTGCATTAGGTTTTATCTGTTAAACAATCTTTGTTATCTTCAACACCCTTTTACTTTATGTTGACAAAATTGTTTGTTCCAATTATCTATGCAAAAAAAATTATTAAAGAGTGCAAGTTAAGATAGAATTTATTAACTGGCAAAATTTATACTTAAAGTCGCCCTACATTAACATAAAAACATAATTGGTTAGACAATATAATGTAAACACCTATAAGGAAATGAAGTGTTCAATGTACAGTATTGGTCAACAATTATAACTTCTCCTGTAAAGACATTTTACATTATTACAGTTGTGTTTTACTATATTGTCATTCATTATATGTTTAATTATGGGTGCCCACAGGTTATAACTGTTGGCAAAGACACTAATGGAGACGTATTTTCTTAAAACTACATTATAATGCATTTGAAATGCTCCATTTATTATAAACATCGGGACTTTAAGTTGAGTGTTGCCTATTAACTTGACTGTACGACTTTCCTTTTTTTTCTCCAAACCACATTTTCAACCACTCGCATTTATCACATCTTAAAAATCAAAATCCCACACAGATGGAAGTAAATACATGACAAGTTTTAATTTTCTCAAAACTATGACATTTCTATGCAAAGCGTACATTTTTTAAAGATTCACCCCGATTTTTTGTAGCAGTGATGTTTGGACATTTGAGGATTTTTGGATCACTAAAACAAAATTAGGGAGTGCGTCTTTAAACACACAAATTTGACAGGCTTTTACTTTGGCAAACTGATTTAATATTAGACTTTTTATACGAGCCATGGATGATGGTGTCTCATCAATCCTGATCATGCAGAAAATATAATCTCTACCTCTCAGAATCTGTTGAAGATGCTCTGATGATGATGTTAACTTTTGTCTGCACCCTGTACTGATAATCACAAGTGATACTCAAAATGATAATATTACAACACATTATTATTAAAATTAATGGCTTGAACCTATATACATACAATCATAACAATAAATAATGACACTGAAATAGAGAAGCAGCTTTGTCCATAAAATCTCAAAAATCAAAATTAAAAACGAATCTGAAGCTGATAAAACGTTGGATGAAAACAAACAAATATTTTCAGCATCTGATAAGTTTGAGAAGTAACTGGTTGTTAAAGGGTTAGTTTACCCAAAACCTCTAAATTAAAAAAAAAAAAAACACTCTCTTCCTTCCAGTGGTTTGTTGACAGTTTTATCTGTCCAACTTTTGAGAAATCTGTCACTGCTTTCATCTAAATGAACGGTGGTGAGTTTTAGGAATTCAGTGCCTGTGATGATCCACAGAAAACACTGGAGACAGTTCATAGTTTTCAAATTTCAATTTAAAAATATTGCAGTTTTTCAGTAGCAAGAGCTGAGATTTTAAAATAATGTAGATCATTATGTCTTAATGAGTTTACACAAGATTCATTAAGACAACAAATTTCCCACCGACCAGGGTCACATCCGTTTTGTCTGACCATCTGCCCAAAATCTGATCAACTAATCAATTAGACTAATTGTTGCAGGTCGTTAACATTTAAATCACAATATGCATCACAAAAATTTTTTGTTAAATTCCAATCTAAGTTCCAAGTGTGTTCTCGATACCACCAGAGACACCCAGGATTAAATTTAGGTGTTCGTTGTGTGGGTGAACTGGCCCTTTATCATGGGAGGAGAGAATCAGATGAAGAGCAGAAGGGGGAGATGCAGGTGTGTCTCAGAACTTCAAGAGGTAGTGAACGTCCATGCATGTATTATAAGAACTGGATACCAGACTCAAAGATGGCGACCACCTGCAGACCTGCATATCAGAGAGAGTCACTTAACAAATTAGCACGCAGTGATTCAGAGGTCTGGAACCAGGCTAATGCAAACGCACTCAACAGTGACTCACTACCTTCTGAAACAGAGACACGCCTAATGATTTCATGAAAAGTATTATGTTTGTTAACTGCTAGAGTCCTGCTTGAAGCCATGGCACGAGCACATCCAGAACATCTGAGAGCTGTTAACGCAGAGGGTTTAGAGACTGACGACATTCTGACGTTAAACACAAGGACAAAGCCATAAAGTCATTTGTCAAACCTCTGACCTCCACCCTTGAAACCCGTAGGAAATCCATCTTTTCCAAACTGAAGTCATGTGTGCAGTGGTTTCCAGAAAAAAGACCAGAGGGTTATAAGGCATCAGTGGGCGGGGCCATAAGAAGGCCGACAACCTCCGATACACCTCAGCAGGAAGTCGAACATTCACAGCCGATCTGCATGCTCCCAGCCCTGAACTCTGTCCGCCTTCGCTTCGCTCCACCTGAACATTAAAAGGCCGATCCGTCACAGATGATATTCTGGCCTCGGCCGGGGAACAGCTCCATCTGCCAGTACCGAGGATCAGCGTACACTACATAGGTCAAAGGTCAAAGGGAACAACTGTCAACTGAGTGTTCAGACCAGATAGCTTCAGCAGCCACATGAGATGTTAAAATGATTGATTCTAAGGATCAGGAGAGCAGATTCTGCCGACAAACACCTCAAAGACTACAGGTACAGTTTGAGCAGTGTTGCTATATTATTATTATTATTATTATTAATTATTATTATTATTATTTATTATTATTATTACATATCGGAAAGCAGCCTGAAATTAAGCAGCTGTGAGTCAATGTGTTCAGCAATTTTAAGACAATTTATTATTTATTTATTGTTACCCATGTCTCCAGGTGTCAGCCACAGGTTGAAGGAGCTGCAGTGTTTCTGACAGCGTTGAACAGGCAGAACTCGAACTGTTGGCAGCCCCTCACCCACCACCAGCCAGCCCAACACCCCGACGCCCTGTAACACAGGCAGCAAGTCAGAGTTACAACAAAGCCTGAGGGCACGTGAGTTGTGTATCTTGTTGTATGAACTGACATCCAGGAATGTCTGCAATGTGAAACCTCACTATACCAATACCTGTTGCAAAAGGGTATTGTGTTAAACTTGCCCCAGTAGAATTACAACATGGTCTTTTTTTGCAGTTTTCTCCATCATTCTTGTCAGTAACAGTATCTCTGTCCTCCAGTCTCTCAGTGTGGAGATGTCTGGACGTGAACTCAGCTGGACTCACCTTGCTCTGGGAGTTTGTGCTGTGGGTGACCAGGCAGCGCTGCAGGATGGTCCCTGCACTGTCCAGCAGGGGGCAGAGCTCAGCCTTCGGGAAGAGCCACCTCAACACCTTCTCCCTGGTTCCAGAGCTAAACCTCCTACAGAAACAAATACAACACGCACAGTCAATCAGCAGTCACTATCAAATACTACTTTGTCCACGGATGGGGTACAGATGTTATTTAGCAGATAAAACAGAGCTACATGTTATCCACATTAACCCACATAATGTACAGTTTTATGTTCTGATAACCGTTCAGTGTTTACTTTGAACAGAGTTGTGTACCAGAGCAGGGTGAAGTTGGCGGGTCCCTGAGGGAGGCCGAGGTTGTGGTTCTGCAGCCCGTCGTCCTCCTCCAGCAGAATGGACATGGACCCTGAATGGGCCAAGTAGAGCTCCTCGAGCTGCTGCCGCTGGATGCTGAGGGACTCCCCACCCTGCAGAGACCAGTATGAACAAACAGAAACCAGCATGAACAAGCATGGAACGGTTGGTCCCATACAGACTGACTGGAGACCGTACACCCTTCACCTGAGATAAAACATTCAGCAGTTTAAATCAGTTCACTTTCTGATTCTGTATCAGTGTGGGATCAATTTTATTTTTTTAAAGATGCTGTTTACACAGTCTGCACCCATGGGTGTGACACAGGGATGCCCTTCAGATAGCCAACCCTGGCTTTGTTGACCTCTGACCTTCAGCAGGACGAGCTGCGGCCCCCGTCGCAGGGTCACAGTCCCTCTAAGGCTCTCTGGGACTTCCAGCACCGAAGAGATCTCTGCACAGCCCGAACAGTTGACCAGGCTCTGCCTGAGAGAGCCGGCACTCCACCATTCATGGAAACCTACAACACAAACACACATTTACTACTATGACACTACAAGTCTTAATGTTAAACTAACATTACTTTCTCATTCATGAAAAACTGTGCTTATGCTTTTATGTGTGTGTTTCAGAGAACTGTGGAAACAGAACTAAAGACAAAGAGTGATCATGTTCAGACCTTGCAGGTTGTACTTCTTGGCGATGGGCAGGGACAGCAGACGGACGTGGCTGAGGGGGGACGACCAGTTGTAACAGCCCAGGTTGACGAGACCCAGCTGGGGAGCACTCTGAGGGTAGGTGAAGGCCAGCACCACCACCAGCAGGAAGCCCACTGCCACCACAAACTGCAAAGACAACAGAGGCATTACTAACACTGAGAGCTGTCTCCTTCCTCAGACCACACAAAATTATGAATAAACCTTAATGCACTGTATACTCTACAACAAATAATTAGTATTTTCAAGAAATAAATTCCACTAGCAATTATATAATATAATATATAACAATGATATAATATAATAATGAGGCTTTGCTCAGCTGCAGTGGACAAAAACATTATTTCCACAGTGGAAACATCAGGGTCCACTAAAAAACACCAAAAAAGAATTTAAGTTACAACAATAACAAGTAACAACATTTTCTGTCAAGGCGATGTAATAAGTACGATGTAATATCTGCCTGACCTTGATGGTGGCTCTCAGGATGGGGAACTGGGGGGGCTCTCTCCTGGGCTCGTTGGTCTCCAGGACCTGCTTGATGAACCTCTCGATCTCCCTCTCTGACATGCCGTAGCGGTAGCCCGACTGGCGGAGGATGTCGATGCTCTCCGACAGTTTGTCGTAGATACACGGCTCACTCATCGTCGTTCCCATGGCAGCGGCGACAGTAGTAATGGCGGCTTCTCGATCAAACAAGTCGATTTTCAGCTGCTGTGGGGTCTAGGAGCATGGTGTCACCTGGGAAGTCATCTTGGATGTTAACTGCCACTTCATTACTTTCAACAACACACAATTATCACAACCGGGGAAGGAGTTTGATAGAACTTAATTGAATCTGAATCCAGTTTTAAATCCCTTATCAAATCTTCTTCTCGCGTTTAGTAACTCGTTCATCATCGGGAAACCACAGACGAGAACAGTTTGGCCTGTGATTGTCTTGTGTGAAGGGATGGCAATGCCACAGACATTCCTTAGATTCTTTACTTGTAGACACTGTCTAAAGCTTTGTAAGTAATGCAATTACATCATGGATAAGCAAGGCTGACGTGATGAACGTCATGCCTTTTCTGGCCCTACAATTATCATAAAGCGCTGAATGTACTTTGAGCAAAGTTTGACGATTAACACTTACTGTGTGCCATCTCACAAGATATCAAAATGTTATTTATTTTTTCTTTTACATTGATAGTGACAGTAACATACTATTTGATGTGGCACACAGCAGCGGCACACACCACATAAGCCACTGGAGAGTGGTGTAGGCAGTGGATCATGAGCGATGTGTCGTTTTCATGTGGCAAAAACACATCACACTAAAACCAAGGTGGGCACACCGGCAGCAGTGTCTGTCGGTGGACTGGAGAGATACGCAGTTTATGAATTACACTTAGCATCAGTACATCCCAATTTGAAATGGCACATACCAATATGAATCGGTGTATGGAAACATATACGGAAACATCAGTAATATACCGTTTACAAGTGCTATTAGCCGGTAAAAAGGCATTTAGATGTTATTCACAGGTTACGTGAAGAAAACAGTGAGATGACACGATACTTAATAACACGATCATTTGACTATAGACATTAGCAAAGGCTTAATTATAGTAAGGTATATGATTTAGCGAGGACAAAAAACAGTAGTGGTGTTTAACGTACTGAAAACAGTTCACTGACAGGTTAGCTTGTCTTTGCTAGCCATAGTTGACGTCACGTCCAGAAATAAACTCCAGAAACAAACTGAAAATCTCACCTCAAAGTGAGATCCACCACCGTAGTGTAGAGTCTCTCATTTCTCACGATGCACTCTAAAATAAAAGTTGTTTTGTTTTTTTAAAGATAAACTCAGTTGCTAGTTGCTAGGCATGGCTACCACAAATGAACGGTCTTCTTCTTCTTCTCTTTTTAATGTTTTTTGGCAGTTTTGACGCTACTGTGCGATTTACTGCCCTCCAAAGGATGAAAAATTACACTACATCGATCACAAATCATATTCTTGAATACTGCATTACTACTTACTATATTACTATATTACTCGTGTAATAACAATGAATATATATTATATATAGCACTTTTAAAAGCAGTCAACTTCAAATCACCTCTAGAACAACTTGTAAAAAATTTACAATTTTCTGTGTTGAAATTTTCCTTCTATATTATGGTTTACAGTCTTTTATCGAATGTTTTTATGTTGGTTTCTTGTTCTTTTGTGGGCTATTAACCTATGTTATGCTGTACAGAAGTCTCTATTGAGTGACACATATAATTAGCTGAGGTTATGCTAATTCTGAATATATGCAGCACTTGGTGAAACCCTTAAAAATGACAATTTTACTATGAAAAACACAAAGGTATGAAAAACTGAAAAAGTTTAATTGTGGGCCTAATAGGTTCAAAGAATGAATAGAAAGAATACATGTTTATATAAGAATATATTTTTTTAGTGAATTGAATATCGTGAATGTACACGTCAACATTCTGGTTCAGTTTATTATGCTGAGGCATTCACACTATTGTTCTTCAAATCTTTATATTTAGGTCTATGGGTTTAACCCACGTTTCATAAACTCCTGTTTATAGCCAATTCAAGGACATAGGAAAGCATTGGCCCCGCCTCAAACCGAACCAAAACAACACATATTGGCCAATGAAAGCGGAGATTGTCCACAGGAAGCCACACAGCTTGTTTCCGTTTCTTGTGCAACCATGAAACAGCATCGACACCGAGCTGCGTCAAGTTACAGAATTAAGCTGCAGAGAGGTCAAAACACAGTTAAAGTAAAGTAAAGTAAAATGTTTTTTTAAACTGTTTTTATTATTTTATTCTCTCTTTTATTCTGTTTTTAACAATTAGAACATGGAAAACACAAGAGACAATGCAAAATATAAAATTATAGTAGATACTATATATAATGCAAAACAATTATACACTATTCAAGAGAGGTTTTAAACCAAACCAACAAAAATGAAAACAGCAATGAATAAAACCAAATGAAAACAACTTAATAAATAAAGAAATGAAACAATATAAAATAAATAAAACAATAAAACTTTAATGAAAATTTTATTTTCTTTAAATCTAAATGCATCATTACTTTTCTCATTCAAATTACATGGGTAGGAGCTGCTGGTTAAGTAAAATTAATCTACATGCTAGACTGACAAAAGTTATCATAAACTTTTTTTTCTGAAAGTCATTTTGAGTATTTACTTTACATTTATTTCAAGAGTTTGCCTAAAAATCTTAACAACAATGCACTTAATAACTTTTAATATTTGTATTAATTGGGGATGTGTTTTTTTCTTTGTGTATTTTTATTATTGGGCATGTATTTTTATTGGGCTGTTATTGCAGAGATGCCACTTGAAGTTTCGTTATACTTTGTATAATGACAATAAAGACTATTCTATTCTACTCTATATTTTTTACTTTGAATTTCATGCTCGTCATTTCAAAAATCATTTATTTTGAAAGTCGTGATCGGAAGTGGCCGTTGTTATCGTGTCTGCCTTGACACAGACCAACTCTGTTTTGACCTGGATGTAACTCACAGGCGGCAGCACTTCTCAAACCAAACCAAACTTCACGCACATCAGAATTTTCCTGAAATTGGGAATTATCTTCCTAATTTTTCTCCACAGAAATCCGCCGCTGTAACTGGTTCAAACCGGTTAACATTGGTCGTTTGGTTGCGGTCAGCGTGTTGTTGTTACCGGAGGTCAGCGGGTTTCCAGGTGAAAACAGAGCGCCGTCGAGATGCTTTCCTCTGGCAGGACCGTCTCCTCCCGCCTGCTCAGGCCGGTCGCATGGTTCCCTCTCCGGCTGGGCTCTGACGGGAGAGCCGCGAGCTCTCTGCATAAAGGTAACAGTAGTCCGGAGCAATATAGCCGGTTTATAAGCCTCAGAGCAGCTAGCACAAAGCTAATCCTAAAGTGACGCAGTTTAGTAAGGAGATTGATAACTTCACGGCACCCATGAACTGAGTGATGAAACATTGGGTAATGACATGTGAGAGATTATAAAATACAATGATACTCTAAAATTACTTCAAAAACATTAAGTCCTCAGGACAGAGGGAAAATGAATAGTTATCAAGTTTGATAATACATTAATTATTATTATCATTATTATCATTTATCAAGCAGAAGTGTCTAACAGTCCATGGCTCCAGTTCTGTTTATATATTTATATTGTTTTGTTGCCTTAATTAAATGTTTTAATTCTTTTTTATTTTCTTTTTTTATTTTCTTTATATTTTAAAAACGTGTTTTTTCTGAATATCTGAGTAATTCTTTGGGTTTCAACTTTATGATAATTTTGGAGGAGTTAGTTTGTGGTGCTGTTGAACTGTATTTCATTATACAGGAACCGTTTCTGTAAATGGGGTGGACAAAATAATAGAAACATCTGCCAGTATAACGCAATACATTTCAACAGCACGGCAATCTGCAGCCTCAGGAATGACCATACAATTGAGTCAGCACCTCTCTGAAATAGTTTCAATAAATACTGAACTTTATAACCCTGATGGAAGATATTTTGTTTCTTTTTAAATAATATAACAATATATATAATGCTGCTCTAATAATTAGAATTGACAAAAATAGATTAAATATACATGGGAAAGGTAAGACTAATAATACATATGTAATACAAATATGTTTTGATATCACCATGATATAGTGGTAAATTTTCAGTACTTTAGTTTTCTAGACTCAACTCTACAGACACAGTTGATGAATGACTCAACAAGTGCTGACTAGCTTTTCACAAAAATCTGGCCCAGTGTTTGAGTCCAGGATGGCACAGATTTGATTTAGCTCTTGATTCAAACCAGCTGACTGTCTGCCTGTCTGTTGTTTTGTGTTGCAGAGATGATTAAGAAACATGAACTGGAGGTAGATGAGCTCCGCCCCCTCTATATGGATTTCCAGGCCACCACACCCATGGTAACTGTTACTTACCATGTTGTCACGGTTACAAGCTTTACCAGCTGATGTCGGCCTTAGCAGTGGAGTTTTTTACACTTGTACTCACCTGCACTTACAGTCGAACGTGCATATGTGTTTCTGTGTATGTAGGACCCCCGTGTGCTGGATGCCATGCTGCCCTTCCAGGTGAATTACTATGGTAACCCTCACTCCAGGACCCACGCCTACGGCTGGGAGAGCGAGACTGCCATGGAGGCCGCCAGGAAGGTAGAGAGACAGTGTGTTCAGAGAGAAAAAAGTTTTGAAAAAAAAACTTAAGTACATCTCAACTTGTCATATAGATTCTTTTGTCTCCTTTATTTCAGTGCACTGAAATGTTTCTATTAAAAATGAAGAATTATTATTTCTATAGTGTAAACGCTGTGTGTTCTTTCATGTCCATCACTCCATTAAGTCTGAATTTTAGAGAGAGACATGACTGTGTGTTGTCTTGCTCTCTCTCTCTCTCTCTCTCTGAGCAGCAGGTGGCTGATCTGATTGGAGCTGATCCCAGAGAGATCATCTTCACCAGTGGAGCCACTGAGTCCAACAACATGGCCATCAAGGTCTCACTCTCCACTTCCTCTTCATCACTTCCCCTTCTCTTCTTCACCTTTTCTCCCACCTCCTCTCACCACTAGCTCCTCCTCTTGTTTTGGTTTTTAGTGAGAAAAGATCAAGAACAGAGGGAGAAAGTGTTAAGAATAGATGAGAATGCAGTGTTAACTCACCGAGAGCACTGTAAAAGCAAAACAAGCACACATTTAGAACATAATAAGAACAGAATGTGAATGCAGAGAAAATGAAAACACATCAATGCCATGAGAACATGTAAGAACACAATAAGAACAAATTAAAAACAGAATGAGAACATGTGAGAATGCTCTAAGAGCAGAACAAGAACACAATGAGAACACAGTAAGAACAGCATAAGAAGCGAATAAGAACACATTCGAAATTATTTGAGAACACAGTAAGAAAATGATCATAACTCACTGAGAACACACTTGAAAATGTTCCCTAGAACAGTGCAAGAACAGAACGAAAACATGTAAAGGACAGAAAGAAAATGCAGAAGGAGAACACTGTAAGAACAACTCTGAGTTAGAACCCAGTTTGTATGAGATCAGTAGTGACCCCGCCCCTCCCTCTCCTGCAGGGTGTGGCCAGGTTCTACCAGGCCAAGAAACGTCATGTGATCACTACGCAGACAGAACATAAATGTGTTCTGGACTCGTGTCGAATTCTGGAGGCGGAAGGATTTGACGTCACGTACCTGCCAGTTAAGCAGAATGGGTTGGTGGACCTAGAGGTACATACACACAACATACACACAGTACACACAGAGTGAACACATACTGCATGTACAAAGAACATGCAAAAATCTGTGTGTGTGTGTGTGTTTTCAGCTGCTGGAGGCCTCCATTCGTCCTGACACCTCTCTGGTGTCGGTGATGACCGTCAACAACGAGATTGGAGTCAAGCAGCCTATCAAGGAAATCGGTAACCATGACGATGCAAACATTATTTACTCCCCATTTCATTTAGTTTCATCCATGTTACAATGATTCAGAATAAATCATAACACTGTGACCAGGTTTCTGATCTTTACTTTTCCACAGAGGTCTCTGATCTGATTTAGTTTTCTGATCAAAACTACTGATTTATTGAGCTTTACCCTTCCTGTCCACAGGTAAGATTTGTCGTTCTAAAGGAGTCTTTCTCCACACTGATGCTGCTCAGGCTGTTGGAAAGGTTCCCATCAACGTCTCCGACTGGAAGGTTGACCTGATGTCCATCAGTGGTCATAAGATCTACGGACCCAAAGGTTAGCCCAAGCATTACTCGTTAACTGACCTGAAGAAGCTGAAGAATATCTAACGGGGGGAGTTAGTTTTGATTGTTGTGATATTCTGTAAGTCAGACCTGGTTGACCTGGTAGTGTGTTAAATTTCCCGTGTGTGCGGGGCGTCGTGTGACGTAGTGGTCTTAAGCAGGCGCCCCATGTGTAGAGGCTACAGTCCTCGCTGCAGTTGGCCCCGGTTCGAGTCCCGCATCGGACGGCCTTTGCTGCATGTCATTCCCCCTCTCTCTGCCTCCCCATTTCCTGTCTCTCTACTGCACTATCAATAAAGGCATAAAAAGCCCAAAAAATATACTTAAAAAAAAAAAAAAAAAATTCCCGTGTGTGAACAGGTGTGGGGGCTTTGTATGTGCGTCGCCGACCCCGAGTGCGTTTGGAGCCGCTGCAGAATGGCGGCGGGCAGGAGAGGGGGCTGCGCTCTGGCACGGTCCCCACCCCGCTGGCTGTTGGGCTGGGAGCCGCCTGCAACATTGCCATGCAGGAGATGGAGGTATAAACAAACGTACCCAAACATCCAAAGACTCAATAAATACACCCAAACATTCTGGCAGTTAATACATATATACACACATACATACATACATAAATACATATCTATATATATGTGTGTGTGTGTGTGTGTGTGTATATAAATATATATACATATATATATATGTATATATGTATTAATTATATATTATGTGTGTGTGTTTTTGTGCAGTATGATCACGACAGAGTGTCCATGCTGGCAAATCGTCTGGTTCAGAAGATCATGTCTGCGATCCCTGATGTCATAATGAACGGAGATCCTGAACAACGCTACCCTGGTACAAACACACACACACAGAACTCTTGCAAAAAACACACCAGTCATGTACTTCAATTTCAACCAACATAACATTCAAAGTCCTTCAACTTGATGGTAGAGGTTTCTCATGGAACTCTGTTTCATATTGATATACAATTATTACTGAAATGGATGAGGCAGATGGACTTATCTGACTGTATCTGTGTTTTTCTCAGGCTGTGTCAACCTGTCCTTTGCCTATGTGGAGGGAGAAAGTTTGTTGATGGCACTGAAGGATGTCGCTCTGTCATCTGGCAGGTCAGACACACACTCTTGTTAAAATTTAAAATCCAAAAACAGGACTGAAGCTTCACTTGAAGCAAGTTCTCCTGATGAGTCAAGCAGACACAGATGTAAACAATCAATCTTTTAATTGCAAATAGTTTTTTGAGGAAGGAAATGCATTCAACATGTTTTTAGACTTATGATACACATTGAATTTTGGTGAAAAACACTGAATGTACTGAATTTAAATGTAACTTTGTAAATGTAGCTTCAATTTTGATTGGCCAGACATTACAGATTGGGTCTTTGAAGATGAATTAATATTTGTGTGTGTGTGTGTGTGTACAGTGCATGTACATCTGCTTCTCTGGAGCCCTCATATGTCCTCAGAGCAATTGGAGCAGATGAGGACCTGGCTCACTCTTCCATCAGGTACATCTTTACTGTAATCCAGATACTGATCATAATCCTGATAATAATTATGATAATAATCCAGATTAAAGTCTTGATTCATTCTGATCACAGTCTCATTTTTTAAATCAACTTTACTGGCAACTTTATTTGTCATCTCAGTGAAATAACATTTCTTCATGGGCAGAGTATAAATTTTGATCCTGCTAGTAGTCCTGATCCTAAACAAGTTTAAGATAATTTGTTTTAAAATGTAAAAAAAAACAACAACAAAATAACATTTGTTAGGAGTGTCAATTATATAAATTATAATCAGGTATAATCAGGGATAATAACCCTGATATTAATCCTGTAATACTCCAGAATCCAACAGCAGAGACTCACAGACAGGAAGAGGTTTTTTATTTGTTTTCTGGTTTGATGTCAGTTGACTCACATGTTGATTAATGTAAACCTGTTCGTCTGTCAGGTTTGGTATTGGCAGATTCACCACAGAAGATGAGGTGGACTACACAGCAGAGAAATGTATCCATCAGGTCCGCAGACTCAGAGAGATGAGGTGAGTTCAGCTGTGTTCTAACGTTAGTCTTATTCTGGTATTTTTGTCTAATTTTTAACAGTAATAATAACATTGCACTCACCAAGTTAGGACAAAGGCAAACGGTAAAATTATTACTTCAGATGTCATTGTAAACATCCATCATAGATAGTTCACAAACCTACTTCCTGTTTCAGCTTTGAGTGACCGTACTTACTGTAGTTGTGTGCATAACATTTTCCCGTACTGTACTTACTACCAACCTGGGGTCTGACAGGCCTACTGGCGGAAGTGGGGTGAAGCCTTGTTTGTGGGCCCTCTTCAGTCACTGAATGACATCATCATTAATATTATTCATAAACACAGTATAGAAATTGCCAAGAGTAGGCCCACTGAATCATGACAAATTAGAGCACTAGTTCACAGGTTCACTCACTTTCATTTGTTTCCAACCAAGTCAGACTTATTTTTAGTGATGTTACCATGTCCCCAATTGGAATCTCATAGACAAAACTATAAAAAATAAGACCCAAGTTGTAATAAATTGGAGTCAATCTTTGAAACTGACTCAGTAACTTCATACATACGTGCCTGTCTCTGTCTAACAACGTTTAAAAATGGTAATATTGTTATGGCAAACATCGAATAAACTGTTGATCTGTCTGTCTGTCTGTCTGTCTGTCTGTCTGTCTGTCTGTCTGTCTGTCTGTCTGTCTGTCAGTCCTCTGTGGGAGATGGTTCAGGATGGCATCGACCTGAAGAGCATCAAGTGGACGCAGCACTAGACTCCTCCTACTACTTGCCCGCTTCCTAGCTGATGATGACGACGATGATAGTTCCTAGTGAATTCTGGGAACGGACCAGCTTTTTCTTCCTGTACACAAACACGCACAAACTTCCTGTCTGACTTGAAGTCTGTTTGTAACTGTAGCTCTGTGTCTCTGTAGATCCTCCTGTAGTTGCTCTCTCGGGAGATATTGCTCAGAGAGTTGACCAGCACATGGCAACCTCTGGTTGTTGTGATAACTCTGTTGTACATTAGTCTGCCTGACTGAAAAGTTGTCAGGGGTTATAAGACCTGGGTCCTGTATCACAAACTCAGTTCATCTTACTGTGATTTTCGTTGGGTTACCTGGCTTCAGTGATCCTAATGATGGTATCAAGAAGCTGGTTTTTATCCGGCTCCTTTAGCTCAGAGTTTACTAATTCAGCTCTGAGCACATTCATTTGAAAGTGGAGGGATTCTTGGTATGATATGACACAGCAGTGATACCTGTATGTACATTCTGTTACTGAGGAACCAAAAAGTGAAATTTCAAGAGGCGATGATAACACAACAATAATAAAATAAGAAACTGTAGTAGGAATAACATCCAGATATTGAAAGTGAGAGGGCCGTAGGACTGGAACATTTATCAGCAGTTTGCAAGTGACTGTTATTTTTTGTGTGAGAAAGTGGTGATCAAAAATCTTTCCATGGTGATTTGCTCCGGTTAAAAGTGAGCCAGCTTCATGATACCAGAAAAACCAAAGTTAAACCCAAAGACAGCTGTCGAAACTGCTAATCCCACTTCATGATACAGGCTCTTGTCAAGGTGTCAGGCCACCAAGATGGACAACAACCATCTGTGACAAAGAAAATGGGAACAAAGGGTAGTTTTGCTTCGGCGAGGCTACAGGTGGCAACTGGAAGCAGCAGACTTACTGTACATTCACTGAGTTATCTGAAGATTTGATGATTCACTAAAATATCAGAAGCTTTCACTTGATTCACAGACAAATATATCCTGCTCTATTCACGGGTGATACACTGTCCTATATCTGTCTTCAAATCAGAACTCAGTCTTGTAGTTTCTGTTTCTCCTCCCACATCAGTTTTAATATCCAATCAAACAGTGTTAGCAGCTGCAGTTTCACTATTGTGTTTAAGTCTGGAACACTCTACAAGAAGCAGAAAACAAAGTCGAAACAGCTCCAGTCCAGTTCCTCACATACTTACTGGGGGTCACACTTCTGTTACATACATGAGTCTGAGGTTGATGAGACTCTCAAGGTGATCCTGAGGTCTGTACACAAAAAAATTAGGAAGTAATTTGATACATGTCTGGGATGATTTAAATTCTTGTATTGTGTTCCTCGATGTAGTCGGCTGAGCCTCTAATTCATATTTATAGCATTTACTGTCTTTTACTGATGCTCCCATCATATGCACAATATTATTTTCCAATAAAGTACTGCTTCATGATTATGCAATAAAATTATGTTTCATTTTTATTTAATGTTTGTTTTTACACAGACAAGTATATTTCATTGACCAATGCTACATACCACTGCATTTAAAGTGTAACGTGAGCTAGTTTGCTACGTCAGTCCATAGTTGGGCCCTTATACAAATATACAATTCAACATAAACAATTTCAAAAAACATGATATAACAAAAATACCACAATGAAATAATGATGCATAAAATGAAATAATTTAACCAAAAGCACCTAATTCAGTATTAATTAGTTATAGAAGTGTTACAGGGTTAGTTAAAAATATGACTACTACTACCGCCCACTAAACACCAGCAAAAGTAATGCACATAAAAAAATAGAAAATACATAAAGCAGCAGATTACCTGAGAAGCAAAGTTAATTTTTATTTTACTTATATTTATGATCATTATATAATATGTAGCACACACATATACAGCACACAAGTGTACTACTAATGTTAGTGCAGTAAGTTAGTATTGTATATATAGTCTACTATAGTACTAATACTTTATAATACCCATTATTACTTATTTTTACCCATGTATAATTATTTTATGAGGTCTTACATGTTCAAAATCACCTGGTTGATAACCCTGTGTCAAAAATGAGGTGTGGGTTCTTTTTGACTACCAACCACTCGTGTTAGAGCCTTGACAATGAAGTAAACAAAAAGCTTAAGCTAGATTTTGGCACAGGGCCTGTAGTAGTGGGGGATCAGGCTGCAGGGATTCTCTCCCATTTAGCCACAAGAGAATTAGTGAGGTCCAACACTGATGTTGGGTGGGAAGGTTTGGCTCACAGTCAGGGCTGGATTAACCCCTGTGCAAAAATTTGCTGTGTGCCCTCACTGACCACTCGCCTACTGCCATCTAATCGTTGTCTGCTGAATATGTTACCCTGCTGCCACGAAGTTGTGCAACCTGACTTCGTTTTATGAAACTTAATATGGATTCATTTGTGGTAATTTGATTAAACACAACTTTAATTAGGAATATACTCCACACCAGAACAATATAAATTGAAATTAGCCTAGTAAACATCTTGAACTAGAGTTAAACATAGGGCACCTCCACAAAGCAGGCCAGATGCTTAGCTAATAATGTAGGACTCACCTTAGTTCAGATTGTATGTAAGTGGTGCAAATAACACATTTTGAAGTTATCAAATAGCCCAAAGCACTTTTGTCTGGTTGATTTTTATTTTCTGTTTATTTAATGGCCAAAATGGCAGCATAGATTACATAAGTGTTAATAACAACATATTGTATTAATTAAATAATTGTAATACAGGCTTACCCACAGTTCCTGTTCATCCCAACGGTGTTGGATGGGGTTGAGGTCAGAGTTCTGTGGAGCAGAATGTCATCATATTTTTTTAGGATGACCACATATCTTTCTAGTGTAAACTCACTTCAACCGGCAGGAGGCGTTACCACTCTTACGTCAGGAAAACGCTGTCCGCATCTTCTCGCGTCTGCACGTCTGTTATCGCGGTGTTTACGCCGACATTTCGTGCAGAAACAGCCTTCAGAGAGACGAGCACAGAAGAAAAGGTCCATCGTTCATGAGCTAAACCTCATTGTGTTTGTTGACAAATTTCTCGGTAAGAATCCAGCAGCGGCAGCCCGCTCAGTAACGCACTCACACCGGGAGCCGAGCGCGAGAGGAGCCGTTAAAAGCGCGCATCCTGCTCGCTGCTCTGCTCCGACACACACAAAGCGAGGCTCACGACCAGCTAGGTGGCTAACGTTAGCCTCAAGCAGCTAAGCTAGCAATATCAGCTAGTTAGCCATGACTGTTAGGGTCTCACTGTCGAGACTTATTGTCTGATATTTGTCTAAAAGAACGACTGCTTTGTTAAAACATTCAGACAGTTTTTTTTACAAAATGGTGTCTTCTCCGAAACCACTCGTCACTGTTAGCTAGCTAGCTGATACATTGTTAATGTTTTTATGTGTTTTTCTTTCGCGGTTCAGCTCGTTTTCTTGTTTCTTCACTGTGGGGACTGACGAGGAGGTAGGAGGTGTGTAAGTCTGGTCTCTGATCAGTTGTGTGTTCATCTCAGTTTCGGCTCTACTGCAGCCACTGCCCATTAGGTGACCACGAGTCACGCCCCTGTGTTGTGACGTCACACCCATCACAACTACATCACTTGTTGATATGAGCAGGTAGATGGTGTTGTAGATGAGTGACAGTTGTCATTGAAACAGTTTGGGTTTATTTCAGCCGTGGTTACACACCCTGTTGGTTTACGGATTTTAGCCCTTTTCAGACATGAAATCTGCAAAAATAACGGCTTTCAATAAGAGTAAAGTCAGTCCAAAGGAGGACTGATGGATGGCTGCAGTTCCAAGCTTACTGTTTCACTTTAAAACCATCATCGGGAGCAGGCAGAAGTGATATGGAACCACAGCTGATAAATACATGTTTTTAAAGCAAAACAGAAAGCTTGCAGAAACTACTGGCAGCTTTTTTGTAGCAACTTTACTCTTTTATGTGTTGAATGTTTGTGGATCTCCTGGTTTCTGGAACAAGCTCTGTAACAGTGGCCGTTTGCAACCCGAAACAGGGCTTTGTTATGTAAATAGTTAATATTAATGGTAATAACTTAATGGTTCTATTAAATCACAATAGAACCAGTACAGATAGCCCCGAGGGAGCAGATCGATAAGTGATGGATTTTAAAATGTATTTTGCAGTTTGAACATCTGTTTATCTCTTTGAAGGCCATTAAAGCCCAGACAGTAAGTTGATGTTGGCTCACTGAAGAACCGCATGCAGTTCTGTGCAAAGGTTTTAGGCACTAAAAGTGAGCACCCTTTGAAGACAATGCCATAAATATTTATTAACAAAAGTCATACAAAGTGCATTAAACAGAGAAACCTGAAATCAAATAAACGTTTGGTGTGACCACCCTTTGCTTTTAAAACAACAGGTTGCTCCAGGATCTTGGGAGAACTTGCCACAGTACTTCTGTGGATTTAGTTTCTCAGTGTCTTGTGTCTCATCATGCGATCCCAGACTAACTCCATGATGTAGAGATCAGGGCTCTGTGGAGCTCGACCATCTGTTGCAGGACTCATTTTTCTTCTTGTCTCTAACGATATTTCTGTATGACTCTGCCTGTATGTTTGGTCTCGTTGTCCTGCTGCATCTATCTAACAAATGTATTGTTAGATAGATGTTACAGGTCCGACCTCAGATTGTTGATGTAACTATTTCATAAAAGTAACTGGAGTTTATTCACACAAGAGACTGACATATAAAATTGTCTGTAAGTTAAGTAACAAAGTGCATGTCTGAAAGGGGCTATAGTTGAGTCAGTGAATGATTTCCTAGTATGGTGAATTTGATTCTGTAGTACAGTTTTTCTGTTCTGCTGTTTCTGTTTTTGTTCTTTCTGGGTGACAGTGGAGGATGTGCAGGTCAGTGGATCTCTGGACCATCAGAATCAGAGATTTTATCGGACACTTCTGAAATAGATGGACAGAAAGTGTCTGGAGCACACAGCTGTAGGTGAAGAGTTTAATAAGGTGTAGGAAAAAGGCTGTGTGCTCCAGACCTGCTGCAGATTCTGTATCATTATCCTGTCTATTGAGATTTGAGCTCCAGGTTGGCTCATCCTTGTTGTGAAATCAGTTCTGTCTTTGTTTAGGTTGTTTAGTCCGTGGATGGCGTTCCACCCATCTTGTTCAATTACACTGTTTGCTGTGTTTTGAGGTTGACAACAGGATGTGGACGGTTACTTATTCCACCTTCTAACTGAGAAATCAAGGCCGTCTTTTGCTCTTTATTCCTGGATTTGCTGCTTAGATTTCTTCGTTTTTCTGACTGTTTTTGATGGAGGTTCCTTTCAGTCTCCTTTCAGCTTCATTGTGAGTCTCTGTTTATGTGAGTGTGAACTGCAGCTTCACTCAAACGTTTTAACCTCACTTTGGATACTCTGGTTGTCTCTCTGACTTTATTAGCTGTTGTCGTTTCCTCTCCTGCTATGTTTTATCCTCTTGCTGCTGTTGATGCTTTACACAGACCTTTAGCAGGCTGACACTCAGAAGAGAGGAGTGGATTACCAGGTTGAAAAAATAAATCTTGAAGTATGGAGTGAACTGCTAATCATGTCAGTGTTGGTGTGATTTGTCTGTGCTGAGGTTGAGCACTGCATTCATTGATGGTGATAATTTTGATGTTGTCAGGCATCGTGTTGAAAGGTGTGGTGAACTACATTTTTCAGTAACTAATTTTATGAGCCATAGAGTGGCTAAAATTCGTAAAAAGTTTAGTGAGAAATTCATCCACAATCTTGATGTATTGTGTGACAGTCCAGGATCCTGGGTAGTTAGAGCACAGAAACCTGAGGATGATGTCTGAGGATCCAGAGATGGTTGTGAAACAGAGGATTGCTCAGTTGGACGTGTTTTTATCAGTGTTAGCCGACCTGTTGCTCTGCACCTCTCTTCTGTTTGCTTTCTCTTCTGATCAGCTGCTGTCTTTGTTGCTGTGCTGGCAATCAGTTGCTGATGTTGCTCTGGTTTACATAATGCTAATGTTGCTCTGGTTCATATAATGCTAATGTTGCTCTCGTTGACATGATGCTAATGTTGCTCTGGTTTACGTTTACCTGACATTGCTTTTGATAAAATGTTGGATGATGTTGCTCCTCTTGCTCTTGTTGACAAGTTACTGCTGTTGCTCCTGTTGACATGATGCTAATGTTTGTTGACAATGTATTGCAGTTTTGCTTTTTGACATGTGGCTCGTGTGGTGGTGTTCTACAGCCAGTTTCTGAAAAGCTGCCGGCTGATGTGCTGCTTGAGGATTCACTTCGTTGTTGTTGCTGGTTGCCTGATTGCTGGACAGGTGCTGGGTTGTTGGCTAATTGTTTGCAGGGTGTTGCTGGCTGGTTGTTGAGGTCAGTGGAACATCTGTAGCTCAGCATGTCCAATCTTCAGTTTGCTGCTTTTCTTGTTCTGAGGAAAGTTTGGGTCTAG